TGTAAACATATAGCGCCTCAAAGGATACGAGTTCAAGAATCTTAATTTTCTTTTTGTTGTGGAATTAAGAAATATTTCTATTTACATTTTTTTGTACATAAAGAAAAACATTTTTTGTTAGCTTCACCAGAGATAAAGACGTTATTGTGCAATTTATTTAATTGCATATAGAGTTTTCTCACAATACATTTCTGTATTACAAAAAGTTTTTTTTCTTTACATGCAACAACTTGTACTAGAGTGTTAATTTTGCACTAAAATGATAAATGTATACAAAATGTAGGTATATAATCAAGTTATTAGTGTACAAACAGACCCAAAACCTTCACGTTTTTACCTAAATTGCAGATATTTACATACGAAGTTTGAAATATTCACCCTTCAGCAATCCACTATGTAAATATCACTCGTGAACGTAATTTGACAACCTCAGTTACGGGCCTTTACAGAGGTTATCAGGTGCGCAAGTGAGGTCGAACTTCCTCGTCTTCATTGCGCCGACTTATCGCGACTAATGCTCAGAACGCGAAAAAACAACAAACAAACGAAAAAAAAAAGAAACAAGGCGTCGATTTATCGCGTGAGCGTGTGGAACGACACGTGTGCGCGGTCCGCGACGAGCTTTCGGGCGCTTATCACGAGCGTGTATCCGCGAACGCCATCTCGCGGACCCATCGCGGGAGAGCGGAGTGGCGCGGAGCTATGGGGTGGTAAGTGGCGGCCGCGGCCTGTGGAGTACTTCTCCACCACCCCAGAGCTCAAAAGATGGCGAACTTAGATATCATGAACTGCCGAATCTCGGGAAACGCGAAGTGGGCACGCCACAGGCCAAAGACTATAACGAAATATAAAAATGCTTGACTTTTCAAGTTATAATATTTTGCAATATTTTGCAGTCCTTCCAGGTGTACTGTACTAGTAAAAATATAATTTGGCATTTTCTGAAGATTAAATTAGCGTTTAAATCGTAATTTCGTTTCTAATTGAAAAATAATTTTTTGGTTATTTATTTTATTTACAAGAAATAGCTTTTTACGTGCAAAATATCAATGTTATCCCTCCTTCGATTCTTTTAAAAGGTAATAATACTTTTTTCTCACCAGAATAGAGTGGTAACTGATATTTCAACTAAGAATAATTTCAGACGTTTATGTGAAATTGTAAATTGGCAACAGACTTTCTTTTGCAGTTGAATAATTTGTTTTATTGTGAACATGACAGTTATTTCAAGGCAGTTACTTTAACACTACCCTATGTAGCTCTTACATGCAATTGTCATGAACGATATATATATATTATATATATTATATATTATATATATATTATATATATATATATATATATATATATATATATATATATATATATAAATTGCTTGTTTGTATTTGGAATGGTTACATTAGCGTATTAATGTAAATAATAATACTGAAACAATATGAAATCTGGGTTTTAATTACAACATTGCACACTTGACCGTACTATCATGGCATTCACGACATATTTGTCTTGTTCTAAATAAATATTTTCATTTTTTAGAACTTTCAAATTACTTAGGTATTAAAAGTTAATTCTTCAAAGAGTCATTAAAACAACTAATGTGTATTTTAAATGAATTAAATTTCAATTTAATTTTACTTCTTAAGAATTTCGCCCAGAGAACGGTTTTGATTACATAAAACAGTAATATTAAAAGGATCGTTTCCAACAGCAGCAAAGACATTTAAGAGAGCAATCAAAGGAACGCATTGTGAAATAGTGTTTTGTCGATAGGTGAATTCCTTTGAATGTCGGCGCAGGAGCAGCGCATGCGGAGTCGCCCAGAGGCGCTGCCACGGGCCGGGGAGCTGCCAGCCGCCGCGCCCAGGAGCTGCCCCCACGCCGCCCCGGCCCGGCAGCCGCCAGCGCCCGCCGACTTCCGCGGGCCCGCACGCGCCCGCCGGCGCTCGCTCACCAATCTCAGATACTAACACTCGCTTGTCCTTAACCCGCATTGAAGTCTTAAGAGACAAATATTGTTTTGAAAGAGTATGGATTTGAGTAACATGAAATTACTTATTTTTTAAGTACGAATAATTCAAATTATCTTAAACATCCATGATGGTACAGGTTATTCTGAGTAATTCTAAGCTTTGGCAGTCTGCAACGTGAAAATAATTCCCTATTTATTGCAAATTGTTTCTATCAAATCATTTGAGAGAGTAATAGCCTTTTCTACAAGTGAATTTTATCCAGATAATAGATCAAAAGAAAGAGGAAATAAGGAACTCAGGAACATTTTTAATTGCTTAACCCATTTCTTTTGTAAAAGCCATTGAGTAAAGACGTAGTTTATATTCATCTGTTATATTTATTGGATTTAAAGTACACGGCAGAAATCTTTTTTGGTGATATTTATTCTTCCCTAAGAGTAACGGCTCTACCTATTGTCACCGCCTTCGAAATATCTTGGCGAGGTTGTCGGCGCAGGTCAGATCCCTAGCGTGCTGTGCGGCCGTTCGTCAGGTCGCCCGCAGCGCCGCGTTTTCCATCTGTGTCATATTTTTTAATATTCTTTGGGAATGCATTAATTAAAACCATAACTCTTGATTAGGTGACCCGGATATTTTCTACGAAATAATTAAACGCCGCTGCTGGGAGATTCGTGGCGGTGTCACGTTTATTTTCTCACTTTTTCGCCTCGTTGTAATTACACAAAATCCCATGCCCTAATATGGAATTTTTGTTCATTAGATCTTAACCCAATGCTGCAATAAAATTCTTGTGTCGTATCTTAAAATTATCTTATGTCTACAGGAAATTAAGGGTAGATTAAGGACCAGATCTCAGGCAGCAAAACATCGTTTCAACTTCCATTTAATCCATTTCGATTTTCTACTCCAATACTCAATTTCCTTCAATATTATTACGATATTATTTTTTAACAATCTAATTTGGTGAACTGAACGATTAAGCAATGGAAAGGACAATTGGCACAAATTTGGTTTAAAGAGATTACTTTCAAATTTGATATGTAAAAGTCAATTTTTAATGTGACTGTATGGTTAATGTATGCTATTTTTACTTGTTAAGGGTAATGACACTGATGTTTGCAATAAAGGTATTTATCATTATATTCCAGCAAAAAATGCCTCTCTTTTTATAAATATTTAAGAAACTTAACTATTTTATCACTAGTATAATAAAATACAGTTTTATGTTTCTTTGGTGCAAAAGAAAAATACTGTTCTATTATGAAAAATGAAATTAAGTATTCATGTCAAATATAAGCATATTTAATTTCATTATATGTATATAAACTATAAATATAGGAAAATTATGTAAAAAAAGTCACATTTATATTTACAGACACATTAAAAAATAAACTGAACCATTTAATTTCTTAGCTTATATTTAGATTCAATAAAAGTTACTAGGTCTACATAAAGAGAATATGAGTGGGATCCTCTTCTCCTAGAAATAATGTAAGGGCATTTAATGCACAAATACTGTGCTCAGGTGATATAAATTTGGCTATTATTCTACAAAAATATAGCTAATAATAAAATTTGACAGGTACACAAGATATAGTATGTTATTTTTGCCATTTACCATTATACAGGGCAATGATTTTTCTTTTTAAACACGACCCAACTTAAAAAGAGGTTTTAAAATAGTTTAAAATAGTTAAATTGCTTTCCAAACAGCGTTTCCCAATTGTAGCAACATCCGAAGTACTGTTCACGAGATACGCATTTTCTTTCCTCGTGATTGCCACGGTATTTCGTATTGTAAACGGAATGACGTTCAGAAATGAAATGCTGATATTTGTTGAATTTCCATTTCTTGTATATCTTAGGTCACACAAATCTAATGCGATTATTGAACTGAACATTTATTTTTAAATACGACAAAATTATAGATAAGTTACTGCTTTCGCAGAAATTTTTCTCCGCAACTTGCAAACTTGCACGATAGATCAAACGGATCTTCCTCTCGAAAAATCGTGATAAAACGGCGTCGGGCGTCGGGTGTGAGCCGCGCGAAGCCGAGGCGTGTCAAAGACCGTCGCACCGCACGCCGCCTGGGCCTGCCGCCTCGGAGCCCTGTGGCCGCGTGCCCAAGCGGCCGGCTGCGTCCCGCGCCGCCGTCTCCGCCTGTCCTCCGCCACTGCTGGACCTCCGCTGGCGAAGTCCGAGGTTCGAGCTCGCGGTGTTTTACGGCTGGGATGACCCGGTGGCTGCGGCGCTGCAGGCGGCGCGGGCGGCGTGCGGGCAGGCGGGCAGGCGGGCGGGCGGGCGGCGGCGCGGGGCCGTGGGGAGGCGCGCAGTAGTAAAATGGCCGAATAGATCCGCCCGCGGGCGGGGGCGGCCGCGGGCGGGATGTTTACGATAGACGCCCGACCTCGCGGGGGCGGCAATTATTGCTCGCCCGCTCGACCGTAATTTTTGACACTTTTAATGTGACATTTACACGCCTTTCAATGGCTTCTTACGGCCAGTTTGTTTGGAGACGGAGCGGGTCTGGATTTAGGCCTATTTCGAGGAGCGGCGGGAGCCGTTTCCGCTTAAAGAACAGCATTTAGCAGCCTTTTTGAAAGGTTACGAGACAACCCAACGTGAACGTTCGAAGCAAAACATCGGGAATACGTTACGATCGAATGTAAACAAACTTGTGCTGTCATAAATGATATATTTATACGTACTAACAGGTGCAGAAAGCAGAGATGCGACACAAAACTGAGCACGTGGTTCGATCATGCCCCTACATCTAGACTAAGCTAAGAAGAGTGTAAAGAGCTACAGGAGAGATACACTACGCACTTAAGGACTAATACAGACTACGGGGGTAGGAAAATGAAGCTACGGAAATTGGAACTGACCTTGTAGCGAGCCCTGAAGCTGACTGAGATCTGTGGGAAGAACGGAACGCAGTGAGTTAGGGCAGCACCAGCGAGCGCATGAGGCGAGCGAGCGGAGCGGGTGGAGGGACTGAGAGCAGCGCGCGCGCGGGGCAAGGCTCACCCGTGATGGACATCCAGGGGTAGCGCGGGATGTCGGGCAGCGGCGCCGCCCCCGAGGCCCCGGCGGCGGCCGCCCCGGGCTGCGAGCAGGACGACAGCGGGTCGTTGGCGGCGGCCGACGCCGCTGCCGCGTGCTGGTAGAACTGCGCGGCGGCTGCCATCGACGCCGACGACACGGCCGACACGGAGCTGCTCACGCCCGACACGGCGCCGGCCACGGCCGCCGCCGCCGCGGCGCCGTTTTGGTGGTGGTGGCCCAGCGTGTAGTTCACCATGGAATCGGGCGGCGGCACGCTGTAGCGGCAGCTCTTGTCGGCGCCCACCGCCGCGTCGACGGCGGCGGC